AAAATTCACCTTTTCCTGTTCCAATGATCGAATCGAATGATCCGCTTTAAAGTTTTGAACTTTTGTGGTTTGATTGAAGTTTTGACTTGGTTAGACGAAGAAGTCATGTGCAATGAAATGAAAGGAATCTATTTTGGGGTTTTTGACAGGTTCGATGTTAAGGATTATATCACAGGGTTTGGTAGTCCACAATGGAAGAAGACTCATGAGGCTGCAGAGAAAACTGCTGTTGTTGTGACAACACTCTTGAAAAATGGAGCTACTTGTGTTGGCAAAACAATCATGGAAGAGATGGGCTTTGGGTATGTCTCCGTTATCAAATTTCCCATTTTGTTTGTCCATGAGATGAGTTTTTGGTAATTGATTTGAGACAAAAAATGGGGTTTGAATGTGATTTTTTACAGGATAACTGGAGAAAACAAGCACTATGGCACTCCTATTAATCCATTGATGCCATCTAATGTTCCTGGAGGCTGTTCCAGTGGCTCAGCAGTTTCTGTTGGGGCTGAACTCGTTGACTTTGCACTTGGTATTGCTAATGTCTTTGTTTGATCTTGGCAATCTGTGCTTTCATGTGTCTTCTTATGGCTATCGATCACATTTATTTGTGGTAATCACAACATGCTTGATTTGCAGGGATTGATACCACTGGCGGTGTTAGAATCCCAGCTTCATTTTGTGGTATTCTTGGCTTCCGACCATCTCAGGGGACTGTTTCCTCAGTTGGAGTTTTGCCCAATTCTCAGAGCCTAGAGACTGTTGGTAAGTTACATTCTTTTTTCCCCTTATTTTGAACAATGTTTAGCAAACTATTACATTCAACAATTGGAAGTTTTTACTATATTTGTATTGAATCATACAAAGAATCCTTGTGCTTGTCAAATCCCTTTCCTTTTTTGCACTCAGATTAAAGATCTCTATGTGTTTGCTTTCTTGCAGGATGGTTTGCCCGTGACCCATCTGTTTTGTGTCACGTTGGGCATGCCTTACTTAATCTGAGTGCAGTTACACATAAAAGGCAAAGATCTTTAATCTTCGCTGATGATTTATTCGAGCTCTCTGACATTCCTAAGCAAAAGTCGGTGCATGTTGTTAGAAAGGCAATCGAAAATCTATCTGGCTGTAAGTTTGCATTAGTATTACTTCCTTCTCTTAGTCCTGCTCAAGATTCAAATCTTACGTCTCTTGGCCACTGGCTCGTGCAGACCAGACTCCAAAACATATAAACGTTGGTCAACATATCGCTTCAAATGTACCAAGTCTTGCGGAATTCTGTGAGCAATCTGGGAAATCGCAAAAATCAGCATCAACTTTGAAGGCTCTTTCATCTGTGATGTTATTAATACAAAGGTATTTTAAGAAGCGTGCTCTTTTTGTAAATTCACTAGTTTCCCTCTCTCGTTCATTTTCAACTGGTACAATAAAAGATTGATATTATTCTCTTTTTGCTGGAGGTAATTAGTTTTCTTCTTATATTGTGTTATATACATTAATTAAATTAAGGTTGCTTCTGTAAATCAGGCATGAGTTTAAAACAAATCATGAAGAATGGTCGAAAACTTGCAAATCGTTTTTAGGGCCAGGATTCTCCAATGATGTTGTTGCAGCTCTGAAGAGCAGAAACGAGAGCATTAAATCCCTCTACAGAGTGAAAACTGAGATGCGAGCCGCCATTCAAAGCCTTCTAACGGTAACCTTCTCAATGCCATGACGATAACATCAGTGTCTTGAGGACAGTTAGCCACTGAAATACTGAAAATTGGAGAGGTTGCATTGTTTAAGTTCATCTTTTGGGGGATTCTACTCTTCCTTTTGTAGTTTTATAGTATTATGATGAACCATATATACTGTATCTTATTATTAGGAAGATGGAATTCTCGTGATCCCCACAGTTGCTGATCCCCCGCCGAAGCTTAACACAAAGAACAAGAACGTTTTGAATGAGATTCTTGATCGAAATTATGCACTCTCAAGCATAGCTAGCATGTCTGGGTGTTGTCAGGTATATTTTCTTTTCCGCTTTCTCATCAATGGTTGGAGGAGGACTGTCTCTTGAGACTTGAGTGTAATATAACACAAATCTATATACATATTCTACAGGTTACAATTCCTTTAGGGCAACACGGTGATCGTCCAATCTCCGTGTCGTTTCTTGCTTACTATGGAGGTGATAAGTTCCTTCTCGATACAATTCTCGATGTATATGCATCCCTTCAGGACCAAGCCGATATTGCATCCAGCTTAGCTCCAGCGACTGACTCCAATGGTGGTATGGAGGCTTCTGAAGTTATGAAGGAAAAGGTAAAATTATCTCTCTGGGGCTTTCTTCTAAGCAAGAAAGAAATATCTGATCCATGTGCTGTTTGAGTTTGAATGATCTATTTTTAAAGAAAGTTATGTTGGATAAATGTAATTCCAGGGTAATGCTGCATACAAGGGACGACAATGGAATAAGGCAGTAAATTTCTATACTGAAGCTATCAAACTGAATGGAGCAAATGCTACGTATTTTTGCAATAGAGCTGCTGCTTACTTGGAACTTTGCCGGTAATTGCTCGCTTCATATGTTTCATTCTGATCTGAAGACAGTTAATTATTTCTCTTCTGATCTGAAAGTTTGTTTATAGCTTTCAACAAGCTGAAGAAGATTGTACCGAGGCTGTATTGATCGACAAGAAGGTGCGAACTTGATTACCTATCCTTTCCTTATTTCTCCATACTCCATTTCATTGCATAGTTTACTCTTGTTACATTGAGTTTTTAACATGGCTCTGATTACAAGCACACTTTAGCTGGATCACTCTTCGG